TTTCCTTCTGCTGTGCATGGGGTCGCTATGAGTCGGAAACGACTCGACGGCACTTAACAACAACAACAACAACAACAACCATTTACTGTTTTTTAATATTAACATCTCTGTGAAGGTTCTCAATATAGTGCCGAAAACAGAGAAAGTTTTCATCATATTTATTCTCCTTTTCTTAGTCCAGGATATTTTTAAAGAGTAGGCTTATTCACTGTAAAAGTATGTTTTTAAAAAAAACCCAAAAACCTAAACTATAGATAAAAATTCTTGTAAAATATCACTGTGCTAAATATTGCTCCTAAGTATGAAATAACAATTTACACTTTAAAAGTAAAAATCATAGCAATGTTCTGGTTTTACATAGTTGTTATAGATAGCCTAAACTCAGCAAGAGTTGCATAAAATTTCAATAGAGACGAAAAACAAAATGAAATTTACTACTGCAATGAGGTTGAAGCAAGGAACATAGCTACTTCATAAGATTTATATCTTTAAGTACAAAGTTCAAAGAATAGGGTCACTCTTGGAAAGAAACGTATGCAAGAATACCAGTATTTAAATGCAGACTTTGAATATATTTCAAAAAAATAAAAACACTCACCAGGAGAATACTTAAAAATAAAAGGGTTGCTAGTAGCTAGTATGATAGAAGCAGACAGTAATGTTGGATATTTGCATTTGGGATTAAGTAGTTATGTTTTCCTTTTACCTTTTCTAGCTCTTCTTCCACTGCTTTTTTCTCCCTAATAACTCGTTCAATTTGGCCTTGTTTTTCGGCACACTCCTATAAATCAAAGACATACTGCAAATAAATATACATGATAAAACCTTGAGAAAAAAATTATTCATGAAAGTAATACTTCAGTTACCACAGGAAAGCCATATGGATCAACTAGGGGGAGATAAAAGAAAACGAAAAACTCAGTCTTCAGGATTTTAGAAATTGCCTCCTGCTATAGAATAAAGGAGTTCTAAGTAAACAGACTAAGTGAGTAACAGAGTTTGGGGGAATCCAAGAAGAAAAAAATAAACAAATACAACTCCTTTGTTACAGAATTGACAGCAACAGGTTGTCATACCACAGTTTTCCTTTTCATATACTCTTATCACATACTTTGAAAACAGAACAAACAATAGATAACTGTGCCTGAAAGGCCCATGGAAATATAAATATTAAAACCATTTAATTGTTTTTTTGTAACATTTACAGTCAATGGAACTACTATTAAAGATGTCTTATAAACATGAGTATAAAATATCCTGAAAAGGTTTTAATCAAAAAATTCAGCAAGCATATCAATTAATCAGTAAAATTTAATATTTTAATGAGAGTAAAACAAATTATAATCATATTATTATTATGTACAGCCAGAGAATAAATATGGCTATTTTCTACAAATTGTGAATCATGCTTTGGGTGAACATACATTGCTGACAACACACTACTACTACAACTACTACTACTACTACTACTACTACTGTTGCTATTGTTGGGTGCCATCGAGTTGATTCCTATTCACAATGATTCCGTGTGACAGAGCAAAATTGCCCCATAGGATTTTCTTGGTTGTAATCTTCATGGAAGTGGACCACCCAATTCTCCTGTGGAAGCTGCTGAAGGAGTTCGAACCATTAGCCTTTTGGGTAGCAGTTGAGCACCATAAAATGCAATAATCTTTATCAAAACTTTATTTTACAGAAGTAGTATATTTCATTATACTGTTAATTTTAAGATAAGCTTCCAAACTAAACTAAAAAAACTCTCACTGCCACAGAGTCAGATCTGACTCATAGCGACCAATCCTTGGGTTTCCGAGGCAGTATCTCTACGGAAGGAGATTGCTCAATCTTCCTTCTGAGGAGTGGCTGGTGGGTTTGAACTGCCAGCCTTCTGATTAGCAGTCAAATGCATGAGGCACTAAGCCACCAAAGCTCCCAAACTATGACCTCAAAATAATCACCTCAGATTTACAATGATCTTTAAACTTTTGTTATAAATAAAATGATTAATTTATATTTATTTTTTATTAAGATATATTCTTAGGGTATAAGAAATGAATCTTAAACATTTCATATAGTAAATTGCTAATCTATGATAAAGCAGTTTTATGGTTTGAAATTTGTGACTTCTCCTATGTTTATAACCCCTCCCATATGATTTTTACTGTAGATGCAGAAAACAAAGTTGCATTACATTTCTGGGTCTGGCCAGTGTGGTATAAAGGAAGGCATGTTTTGTGTTACAAATCCTTTTCTACCTAATCCACCGTCTCACTGCCAAATGATGACAGCTGAAAGAGTATTTGGTTACCCTGAGGTAACAAATGTAAAATGAAATAGAAAAATTGAAACCTTTCTATTCTGTCACATGGGGTTGCTATGAGTTGAATGAAAATCAACTGGAAGGCACCTACCAACAAGAATATACTCACTATTAGAAATTCATGCAGTACTAAATAAAATATTATATGTTACTATCAAAAGCTTTCCACAGATGTTCACTACATTAATATCCATCGATATTTGCTACCTTTAGGGGAATGCAACATAATGATAATCAATTTTTTTTTTTCAAGTACTTTTGGAGTATTTCCAAAATCACACCACAGTGTATCATAAAAACCAAATCAAATTCACTGCCATTGACTCAATTCCGACTCACAGAGACCCCCACTGGGTTTCTAAGGCTGTAAATCTTTACAGAAGCAGGCTGCCTCATCTTTCTTCTTTGGAGCACCTGGTGGGATAGAACCATCCACCTTTTGGTTAGAAGCCAAAAGCCTTAATCACTGTATCACAAGAGCTCCTTACAGTGCATCATAAAGGAAGTCTCAATAAATAGTAAGAATAAATATCATACAGATCATGTTCTGTGACCATTATGTACGCAGATTAAAAATCAATGATAAAAAAACAGTATAAATCCCCATGTATTTGGAAAAATATTCTCTGAAAAAATTCATGGAGCAAAGAAAAGATAAAAATGTAAGTTTTATTTTACATCTGAGCCTTTTACAATGAATCTTCTCCCATAATTTTATAAATTAACAGCACTAGCAACATTAAGCTCTTAAAGACTCTCAAGAAAAAGTATACTTAGTACAGAAAATAATGGCTGTTAGGTGCATATTCTCCAAATAGAGACAAGTGGCTGGAGATAACACTGACTCTGGCCCCTTCTTAAACTTAAGTGAAACATCTGCTCACTAACTTAAAATACATGTTTTTCTCTTTCCTACAAGCATAATTGAATTTGGGGTTGGTTAAAAGTTGCTTAACTTACCTCCCAGACTTCATCTTTATAGCATAGATGGTAAAACCCACTGCCATCGAATTGATTCGGACCCACACTGACCCTATAGGACAGAGGAGAACTTCCCCATAGGGTTCCCAAAGCCATATATCTTTACAGAAGCAGACTGCAACATCTTTCTCCCATGGAGTGGCTGGTGGGTTTGAACCACTGACCTTTTGGTTAGCAGTTGAATGCTTTAACCACTGCACCACCAGAGCCCCATATAGATGGTAAAATTGGTACTTAGTTTCAGAAAACAATAGTCAGGCATCAGGCCGTTATGACTCTAACAAACTGTTGACTGGGTTTTTTGAGAAACTCAGCTTTTCAAAATAGCTGAAGTGACCTCCTTTAAATATTTTCTAACACACTTAATATTTCAATACTTTCTAATTAGACAGTAGAGTTTTCTGCATATAATCTAAAATATGGCATCAGATAATGTCATATCTTCAGAAAAACTCCTAGCCATAAATTAGAATTGTTTTATTATAAAGCATAAGAAATAGCTTTTGTAATAATCTGAACTTGTCATATATATATATATATATTATATAATAAGAAATTACTTAAAAAATCCCTGCAGGTGCTTAAGCAGTCCATAGTCCTTTGAGGAAAAAGAAGAAATGTACTTGTCCTTCAAGAGTTTACAATCCATTCAATGATCCTGGACTAGGGTAGGACACTATTACTCCTTTTCTTCCACAAAGATCTGAATCATTTGGAAGCTAATCAGCCCATGACAGAAACAAATAAAATGGTAAGATGGCAGATGAGGAAGAAAAACAACAAAACTTAGCAGTGATTAACTGGCCACACTGTCTCCCATTCATTTTACTTAATGTTCCTCCATCATTAAACCACATGACAACACACAAATAGAAAGCAACACTGTTCATTGTTCTATATACTCAGCAGCTATACTAGTATTACAGGACATATTACACACTACAGAGTGTGTAGAATGTGGAAGGATATGCTCCTTCTTTCAGAAATATTTAAATATCAGTTAGCAAATATTTCCTAAAGAGTATACAAGTAAAATAACATACTAGGAAATGGAGAAAAATGAAGGAACACATAAGATACTTCTACTTTGAGGAGCCAGCAATCTATGTGAAGAGATAACATTTTCATAAAGAAGAGAGACACTAACATAAACTAATTTATACTATCTATTATAAGACACAATTCATTGCTAAATTGTACAGAGTATAAAATTAATATAGTTTCAGAGAAGATTAGATTTAATGAAGTTGTAAAATATCTTCCCAATCCCTAGATATTCCTGTAGTTTTCTTCCCTTGCAAGCAAGGTTATTAAATTCAATTTCACCAAATATACAACTTAAATTTATATTCTCATCCTTACTCTATTTCACAAATACTCTGTATTTTCCCCTCTCTGCCTACTCATCCTTTAGTACTCTTTTCTCTTGCAAAGCTTTCCTTTCTTCCTTCATACTGCCATATATACTTTTTTTTCTCTCTTTCTCCCTCATTTCCCAGATGAACCTCGCATATGGTAGGAGATACAGCTGGGTATGTCAGGAGCACCCTGTGTTTCTCTGTCAAAGACAAATAAATAATCATAGTAAAACACAGAAAGCATTGCCTATCTTTCTCATTAGACCAAAATTTCCATGATTGCAGAAAATATGTCTATCTTGATTTTCATTCTTTCTCTAGCATCTAGCAAAGGTCTTGGCTTAGTAAATATCCTTTGAATTAATGAATGTCCAATAACATGTATCTTGGCCTTGAAAATAAGGAGGGGTAGAAGGAAGTATCAGTAGTCTTCTAACATACCATCTGAAGGGCTGAAAGTTCTTCTGTTAACTGAGAAATCTGCACATTATATTGTTTTCTTGTGTTTGCAACCTGTAAATAAAGATATTTACAAATTCTTTAGGCCCAGAATGAAAATGACTAATATCTGATAAAAAAAAACTTAGGGTAATAATTTTTATTAAAAAAAAATAATTGTAGCTTTTAGGGCATAAAAGACAAATAAGCACATATAAACATTTGTCATGAGAGTGGAAAGAGACTGAGTGAGATGCTATATTTAAAAGAAGAGCAGTTGTCAAACTTTTTGGCTTCAGGATCCTTTTAAACTCTATAAATAACAAGACTTTGTTTATAATGGATTCTTTCTTTCAATATTTACTATATTAGAAGTGAAAAATCAGAATAACTTGTAACATTTACTTAATGATTTGAAAACAGTAAATCATGACATGTTAACATAGCTAATGTATTTTTAAAGAAAAGAGTTTCAAAATGAAAAATATTTTATAATACTAAAACTGTCTTATATTTTTTGCCAATCTCTTTAATGTCTGACTCAATACAATTCTCATATATACTTCTGCATTCCCACCACTTGTCTGGCAGTTTGTTGTACTGTGGTGGCTTGTGTGTTACTGTGAGGCTGGAGGCTTAACACTGGTATTTCAAATACCAGCAGTAAAACCCAAGGTGGACAGGTTTCAGCAGAGCTTCTAAGACCAAGAAAGACTCAGAAGAAAGAAGAGGCCATCCACTTCTCAAAAAATTGGCCAGTGAAAGTCTTATGAATAGCAGTGAAACACTGTCTGATATATTACTGGAAAATTTTCTTAATAGCCCTGAAACACTGTCTGATATAGTGCAAGAAGATGAACCCCTCAGGTTGAAAGGCACTCAAAATACAACTGGGGAAAAGCTGCCTCCTCAGAGTAGAGTCAACTTTAATGATGTGTATAGAGTAAGCTTTCAGGAGACGGTTCCATTTGCTGATGTGGCACAATTCAAAATGGGAAGAAACAGATGCAAACATCCATTAATAATCAGAATATGAAATGTATAAAGTATGAATCTAGGAAAACTGGAAGTGATCAAAAATGAAATATAATGCATAAAGATTAATATCCTAGGCATTAGTCTGCTGAAATAGAATGGTTTTGGCCATTTTGAGTCAGAGAACCACATGATCTAATGTGCCAGGAATGACAAATTGAAGAAGAATGGTATGACATTCATTGTCACAAAAAATGTTTCAAGATCTATCCTGAAGTATAATGCTGTCAGTGACAGGATAATATCCATATGCCTATAAGAAGACTAGTTAATATTACTATTATTCAAATTTACACACCAACCACCAAAGCCAGAGATGAGGAAAGTGAAGGCTTTTTACCAATTTCTGCAGTCTGAAATTGACCAAACATGCAGTCAAAATGTGTTGATTATCAGTGATGACTGGAATGAAAAAGTTGGGAAAAAAGAAGAATCACCAGTAGTTGGAAAATATGGCCTTGATGATAGAAATGACGCTGGAGATTGCATGACAGAATTTTGCAAGACCAACGATGTATTCATTGCAAATACCTTTTTTCAAAAACACAAATGATGGTTATACATGTGGATGTCAAAAGATAAAGCAATCAGATAGACCATATCTGTGGAAAGAGGCCAAGGAAAAGCTCAATATGTTCAGCCAAAACAAGGCCAGGAGCTGACTGTGGAACAGACCATCAATTGCTCATATGCAAGTTCAACTTGAAGCTGAAGACAATTAAAACAAGTCCACAAAAGCCACAATGTGTCCTTGATTATATCCCTCCTGAATTCAGAGATCATCTAAAGAAGAGATTTGATGCACTGAACACCAATGACTGAAAACCAGAGGAATTGTGGGATGATATCAAGAACATCATCCATGAAGAAAGAAAAAGGTCATTAAAAAGACATGAAAGGAAGAAAAGATCAAAATGGATGTCAGAAGAGACTCTGAAACTTGCCCTTGAATGGAGAGTAGCTAAAGCAAATGGAAGAAATGACAAGATAAAGAAGCTGAACAGAAGATTTCAAAGAGCAGCTCGAGAAGACAAAGTCAATTTTCATAATGAAATGTACAAAGACCTGGAATTAGAAAACCAAAAGGGAAGAACACACTCAGCCCCAAGCTGAAAGAACTGAAGAAAAAATTCAAGCCTCAAATTGCAATACTGAAAGATTCTATGGGTAAAATATTGAATGATGCAGAAAGCATCAAATGGAAATGGAAGGAATACACAGAGTCACTGTACCAAAAAGAATTGGTCAAAGTTCATCCATTTCAGGAGGTAGCATAAAATGAAGAACCCAATGGTACTGAAGGAAGAAGTTAAAGCTGCATTGAAGGAATTGGCAAAGAACAAGGCTCCAGGAATTGACAAAATACCCAGTGAGATGTTTCCACAAACAGATGCCATGCTGGAGGCACTTACTCATCAATGCAAAGAAATCTGGAAGACAGCTACCTGGCCAAGTGCCTTGAAAAGATCCATATTTGTACTCATTCCAAAGAAAGGTGATCCCACAGAATGTGGAAGTTACTGAACAATATCATTAATACCATACGCAAGTAAAATCTTGCTGAAGATAATTCAAAAATGGTTGCAGCAGTATATTGACATGGAACTTCTAGAAATGCAAGCTGGATTCAGAAGAGAACATGGTTTGAAGGATATCATTGCTGATGTCAGATGGATCTTGGCTCAAAGCAAAGGATACCATAAAGATGTTTACTTGTGTTTTATGAACTATGCAAAAGCATTTGATTGTGTGGATCCCAACAAATTATGGGTAACACTGAAAAGAAGGGGAATTCCAGAAAATTTTATTGTACTCATCAGGAACCTGTACATATCCAGGAGGCTGTCATTCACACAGAACAAGGGGACACTTTATGGTTTAAAATCAAGAAGGGAATGCATCAAGGTTGTACCCTTTCACCATACTTATTCAGTCTGCAGGTTCAACAAATAATCTGAGAAGCTGGACTACAGGAAGAAGAATTGGAGGAAGACTCATTAATAACCTGCAATATGCAGATGACACAACCTTGCTTGCTGAAAGTGATGATGACTTGAATGATTTACTGATGAAGATTAAAGACTTCAGTCTGAAGTATGGATTATATCTCAATATAAAGAAAACAAAAATCCTCACAACCAGACCAATAAGCAGCATCACTATAAATGGACAAAAACTGAAGTTTTTACAGATTTCATATTACTTGGTTCCACTATCAACACCAATGGAAGTAGCGGTCAAGACATCAGACAATATACTGTATTGGGCAAATCTGCTGCAAAAGACCTCTTTCTAGTGTTAAAGAGCAAAGATGTCTCCTTGAAGACTAAGGTGCACCTAACCCAAGCCATGGTATTTTCAATTGCCTCATATGCATGTGAGAACTGGACAACGAACAAAGAAGACTGAAGAAGAGTTGATGCTTTTGAATTGTGGTGTTGGTGAAGAATACTGAAAATACCGTGGACTACCAAAAGAATGAACAAATCTGTCCTGCAAGAAGTGCAGCCGGAATGCTCCTTGAAGTGAGAATGGCCAGACTTTGTCTCACTTACTTTGGTCATGTTGTCAGAAGGAACTATTCCCTGGAGAAGGATATCATGCTATGTAAAGGGGAGAGTCAGCAAAAAAGGGGAAGGCCCACGACAAGATGGATTGAAACAGTGGCTGGAATGATGGGCTCTGGTATATCAAGGTTTGTAAGTATGACAGAGGACTAGGCAATGTTTTGTTTCGTCGTACATAGGGTTGCTATGAGTCAGAGCTGACTCAATGGCACCTAACAACAACAACAACAACACCACCTCTGCATTCAACTTCTGTTATTAAATAACATGTAGTCTCTGGAAACCCACCATATATTCATAAGAACAAGTGTAAAAAAGAAAAGAGATGCCCTTTTATAATTATGAAAGTAGTTGTGACCTCAAGAGCTCCCTAAACCACATTCCGTAAACTGCTTCCATAAAGCCAGTCAAGAGAAAAACAAAATTACATACTAAAAATGTTATTAACAACTTTAAAAACACTTTACACATAGAACATTTTTTATATTACACATCATATCCTAAGGCTAAGTAAATTACTTTGTAAGAAAAGCCTTTACTTGAATTAACATTTTAACTATCTGCAGAAACACTGCATTTCATGTGCACATAGTATTTTGAAGAACTAGTGACATCTCACAGGATGGCTCCTATGAAACAGCTTTCTCCAAAGAGTATTCATGCTTTTTAAAAAGACATTAGTTATATTGACACCAATAGCATATCATTAGTAAGCTTTTAGGATCACTGGGAATTTCTTGGATCAGAATCTTACAAAATGGATTTTCTAAAACAACATGTAAACCTTCTTCAGAACATTTACAACACTGTCATATACTTATTTGGTCAATAATAATGAGTTTTCTTTTTGAAGACCTGCCAAATATATGAGAGTAAATTTTAACTCTACTTCAGATTATAATCAGATGTAGACTTTTCCTATGAATAATCATATTAAGGATCAATTTATTCTATCCATGGGTCAATAATAACCACAATTAGCATTTACTGAGGACTACTGTGTGTTAGGAACTATTTAGGGTTTTTTATGTATGTTATTTCATTTAATATTCACAACAATCCAATGAGATAGTAATTATATCCATTACAGATATGGAAGACTGAAGTAAAGAGAAATAAAGTCAGGAAGGACTCCAGCATACCAAAATTTTTGTTCTTGTAAGGCCAATTATATCTGCCTAAATCTTACATACTTTTTTTAATAAAGTCTTCTTAGTATCTATAAATGATGTAGCGATGTAGCTAACATAAAAGGTTATGATCATAGTAAGGTAGACATTTTGAAATATTTTTATAGCAACGCTAAAAATTAAAGTGAATTAAATGATTTATACTTTTTAGTGCAAGCTGGATTCAAGAGAGGACTTGGAACAAGGGTTATCATTCCTGATGTCAGAAATGATAACAGATTGGCTGAAAGCAAAGAATACCAGAAAGATGTTTATTTGTGTTTTATTGACTTTGCAAAGGCAT